GCTCCCGCCCCGGCCCTGCGCACCTGCTGCTCGCCTCGCTGCTGCAAGAGACCTGCGCTGGGCCCACGGTCGTGTGCTTCCTGCGCGGTGAGCGCCGGCACCCCGCACCCCACACCCCGCACCCCTAGTCCAACCCACCCCTCTTGGCTAATCCGCCTTCTTTCCTTTCGGGGCAGGTGGCTTCTATAGCTTCCAGGCCTGCTGTCCGGATCTGTGCTCTGAAGCCCCGGCCCAGGCGCTGCCCCCTATAGGGGCCGAAAACAACAGCTCCGACCCCAATGTGCCCATCTATGATCAGGTGAGTTGAACTCAGGGGTCCTTATATTGTCTTCTTACCCAAACCCACTATCCCTGCTAGATGGACACCTGAAGGGAAAGCCAGGGGGCGTGTTCACATATTCATTCCGGTGTATATGTATGGCCGGCCACCTGCAAACGGTGTGTGTTCTTGGTGACTTGTTTATGTCCTCAAATATACTTTGAAGTATGAGTGTGACATGTTCCTTTGTGTCCTCAAGATCTCGAGTTCTAAAATCAACCAATCAGTCAACCAATCAATCAATCTCCAGTTCTGTCCCTTGGTCAGGAGGACTGGCCCTGGGTTTCCTCTTGTCTCCAGCCTAGTCCATGTCCTCTATTCTCCTCAGGTCTCAAGCTCTCCAGGCCAAGGCTGAGGTTTCACCACTGTCCCTTTCCTTCTACAGGGTGGCCCTGTGGAAATCTTGCCTTACCTGTACCTGGGCAGCTGCAGCCATTCCTCAGACCTTAAAGGGCTGCAGGCCTGTGGCATCACAGCCGTTCTGAATGTCTCCTCCAGCTGCCCCAACCACTTTGAGGGCCTTTTCTGTTACAAGAGCATCCCGGTAGAGGATAACCAGGTGGTGGAGATCAGTGCCTGGTTCCAAGAAGCCATTGGCTTCATTGGTAAGGGGGTCTCAACTTAGGGGTCTGGGGGAGCTGCAGGGGAAGACGTGGAGGGCACTTGTCTCCTCTGCACTTTCCTGTCTGACCCTTGCCCCCCCCCATCTCCTTTGTAGACTCGGTGAAGAGCAGCGGAGGCCGGGTGCTGGTGCATTGCCAAGCTGGCATCTCCCGCTCTGCTACTATCTGCCTGGCGTACCTGATTCAGAGCCGCAGAGTGCGGCTGGATGAGGCCTTCGACTTTGTTAAGCAACGCAGGGGAGTCATCTCCCCCAACTTCAGCTTCATGGGCCAGCTGCTACAGTTTGAGACCCAGGTGCTATGTCATTGAAGCAGAGCCCCTCCTCTTTGACATTGTGCTGGCTCTCACTGACTGCTTGGGGGAGCTACTGTGGGTAGCTGGGCTTCTTTCTGGCCTCGCACATTCCTCCTCACTATGATGCCCCCAAGAGAGGGTGCTAGGAAAGCTGGAGTGCTGACCTTTCTGATCTGGTGCTCTTCTGCTAGGGATTTAAGGGCTGGCCCTTATTCTGGGAACCAGAGCAGAAAATAAGTCTGCTCTCCCTTCCCTAGATCTGGCAGAAATTAATTGGACTCTTAAATCTGTGGACTCTTGTCTCATTACCATGTTGAAGCCCTTGGCAGTTCAAGGGCCTAAGGAACAAGCTGTGACAAGCAGGAGCCCTGTCTGGGGTATGTACCCCAGGGCCAGAGCTCGAGCCCAACACTCCCAAGGGAGCCAGGAACTCGGGAAGTGATGTGTGTGTCATGCTACAAATCTCTTGCTTGCGTGTGTAAGTGCGTGTGCATCTCACCAGAATTGGCGCTGGAAAGTTATTTGTGTTCAACTGACATTTAACACTCCCTCCCTCACTTCCTCCCAGCTCTGTGGGTGGAGGTTGGAAACAGCACTTTATATTTATACAGAACATTGAAGATGTGTCAATAAAATATTGTTTTGTTTAATAAACCAACACTGTAACTGTCTGGTCTCAAGTCAGTGCCTGGGGTGGCTGAGCAGCTGAGTGGTCTTCATTGGTCACACCTTTCTGCAGGTGGTGACTGGGAAGTGAAAGTCAAGGATCCTCCCCGGCCTGGGGTCATCCCCACACAGGTTCTGACTTGTGTGTGAGCTGAGAGGGTTCTGGGGCACTGGTCTCAAAATGGGGCCCAGTGCTGCCCTGATCAGACCACACTTTCCTTTTGGAACACATGGGATGTATGTGTGGGCTCTGGAGCAGGTGGCTGTTTCCATTGTGTGTATCAAGTGTTACTGATCCAAGGCAACGCATGTATCCTGTGTGTGACTTTCTGCATATGCATGTGTCCCTGAGTGAGCCTTTCCCATTCTCTCTCTCTCTCTCTCTCTCTCTCTCTCTCTCTCTCTCTCTCTCTGTGTGTGTCTAGCTTAGGCCTCTCCTTCCTTGCAGGAGGGGAGCACAGTCTCAACTGAATCTCAAGCTGGGGCTTCTGACAGATGTTGCTCAGAGCACCTCAGTCCCAGAAGTCATGTGGCCCAGCATCTTGGTGCAGGCACATGTCATTAGGGATTAGTTATTCAGTCACTTAAATAACATGGGTAAGTCATTAGTTACTTATTCAGGTACTTATAAACATGGGTAAGTCCTAGCACTGAATGTGGAGACCTGAAGCACGGGACTAGCCCAAGCCTTAAGCAGAGTGGTATATACTCAGGCTTTTAGAAGAGAATACTGTGACCTTCCTGGGTGTAAAGGGTGCTGGACCTGAGGAGATGGCTGCAAGGGAGCTTCATCCTGACACTGCTGGCCCTTCAGAGTGTCATGGAGTCCTCTTCATTGTACCCCTGATGACAATGTTCCTTCCATCATTCTGAGTGCCTGGTGGAGGGCAGTGTGTTTGATGGCCAGGAAACTGGTTTTGCTTACTCTCAGCATCTCAGTTTACTCTATTGTAAAATAGGGCTTATCTTCAGTTCCACCTCTTAGGGAATAGACTTCTACAAACCAGTTCACATAGAGTAGCTCACATGTTCAGAAAACATTGGCCACTGGTGGCCCCGGGAGCCACCTTTGCCCCTATTACGTGATGTGCAAGTGTGTGTTGACAATGAAAGCATTCAGATCTCCTAGAACCCAGCACAGAGGGCACTGGCTCCCTGAGGCTGAATGAAGGGTGCACAGCCTGACCCCGGGGCCCATTTTCTCTGCCCTGGGGTGAGGTATTCAAGAGCTGGGTCTCAGCTGCTCTCAGCTTTCCTCAGGGTCTATACCGGTTTCTATTGGGACCTGCCTATGACCCTGATGTCTAGCTCAGAGTGGGTAAGGGATACCCAGGGCCCAGAGTCATTGACACATCCCATCACTGTTGGCTGTCTCATTCCATCCCATCTTCCCCACCCCTCCTGTGTTTCCAGTGTCTTGTGTAACAAATGGCATTTCTTCCTCTCTCTATTCTTAACTTTTAATTGTGGTAATAAAAATACATAACAAAATTTATCATCTTTACTATTTTAAGTGTTCAGTGCTGTTAGATATAGCCACAGTAAAAGGTCTCTAGAACTTTTCATCTTGAGAAATGGAAGCTCACCCTCTGTGGACATTAACACCTTATCCCTCCTTTGGCCCCTGGTGATCTCTATTCTACCTCCTCTCTGAATTGGAGACTCTAGGGATCTCAGCATTTGTTTTCTTTTTTTTTTAAAATGTGTATGAGTGTATTGCCTGCATGTAGGTAAGTGCACCCGTGTCGTGCAATGTCCATGGAGGACAGAAGAGGCCATCAGATCCCCTGGAACTGGAGTTAGGGACAGTTGTTGGCTGGGATTTGAACCTGGGTCTTCTGCAAGAACAACCAGTGTTCTTAACTACTGAGCCATCTCTCCAGCCCCTGTTTCTTTTTCAAAAATATTTTTTATTTATTTTTTGAGAATTTCATATATGCATACAAGGTATTTTGATAATATCCACCCCACCCCTACAACCTCCTTAAATCCTTAATAAATCTCCTTCCCAACTTCATGTCCTCTTCTTCTTCTTTTTTTTTTTATAACTCACTGAATCCAATTAGTTCTGCCTATGTCCAATGGGTGTGGGGCCAGCCGGTGAAGCATGGGCAATGCTTCTACCAAGAGCTATACCCCAAAAGAAAAGTGATTCTCCCTCCAGCAGCCATCAATTGCTAAAAGTTCCTCAGCTAAGGGTGGGGCCTCGTGAGCCTCTTTCCCATCCACACTGGAATTTTTACTAGCTTGATCTTGTGCAGGTAACCACAGCTGCTGAGAGTTCATGCGTACAGACATGCTGTGTCCAGGAGACAGCATTTCACAACACTCCTTCCTGTCCTCCAGCTCTTACGTTCTTTCTGTCTGCTCTTCCAAGGTTTTCCCTGAGCTTTGGAGGGGCAGGGTGGTATAGATGTCCCATTTACAGCTGAGCTCTCACGGTCACTTATTCTCAGCACTTTGATCACGGTTAGGAATCTCTGTATTAACCATTGCTCACTGCAAAAAGTAGCTTCTCTGACCAAAGTTGAGAGCAGCACTAATTGACGGAATGAATTGTTTAGCACAGCTGCTCTGAATTGAAAGGCAAAGTTCAAAGATCTGGCTCTATCAGGTTCCACATGGTGCTCAAAATGGAGCCCAGTCTTGTCACTTGCTCCTGGGTCCTTTGATTTATGAGCATCGCTATTTGTCTTCTTGTGACCAGCTTAGTTCATTTGGGCAGCTTAAAACATTTTTTCTCTCAAGAAAAACTGTATTTCTTGACTAAGTATGTGGTTTTCTACCTAAGCAATGTGATTATAATAAAATAAAATAATAATTTTTTTTTGGTCTTTTTGAGACAGGGTCTCCCTGTAGCACCAGCTGTCCCGGAACTATGTAGACCAGGCTGGCCTTGAACTCACAGAGATCCGCCTGCCTCTGCCTCCCAAGTACTGGGATTAAAGGCATGTGCCACCACGCCTGGCCATAATTATATATTTTAACAAGCACTTTAACTGGTTAGCTCCATTAACTTTTTTCCCCCTCTCACTATGTAGCCCAGGCTGGCCTCAAGCTCCTGCTTAAGACTTCCAAGGGCTGAGATTGCAGGTGTGCACCCCACCACGTACAACTCAAGCATTCTTTTTCATGGGTCATATTTTATTTTATTTTATTGTTCCAATGTTACTAAGGTACTACTGACCCAAAAATTGTATATTTAAGGTGTATCTGAGATGCTTTGACATACATATATATATTATATATTATATATATATGTATATCTCCTGTGAATGAGTCTGCCAACCAAGCTAATTAGCATATTCATCAGATGCACTGAAATCAGTCAACACCTGATCTGGCAGCAGGCCCCTGCCTTTATCTTCTCTCCCTATGGCTCTGACTTCTGTTTCTCAAGGAATGTGGGATTCCAAGCCAAGCAGGAATTCTGGGAGGCCTTTGTGAACATTAGCCAGCGCCCTTGGCTCTGACTTTCCTTCACTGGGCTTTGGGGTAGACTTGAACTCTAAATCATACCCAGGCTGTCAGTCCAGGTGGGGCCTCTAGGTGGCCTGCTGTGAGGAGTAGGCAGACAGACAGGAAAGGAGCTGTGCTCTTTGAATCCGTGAAATGGGCAGGCACACTGACTGATCATGCCAGATTTTATGGTATCAGAAGGATTGCGCCCATATGAGGATCTGCGTTATATCTCTCTCATGTGGCAGGCTTCTATGAGTGCTGATGATATGGGGTATTCACTGTGACGTTTCAGAGTCCTGCAACCTGTGACTGTGTACTTTTCTATACAACTACTGAAATAAAAGTGTATGCAGATGTGGTGACTGCATCCTCCATCATCAGGTACAATGGAGGGCCCTCTGGGTGGCTTTTCTGTGCTTAACCCTGAGGGTAGAGGCAGAAAATGCCCTTTCCAATGCTGGGCTCTCTCAGTCAAGCCCATATACCTTTCTACAATGCTTCTCTGCCCTCTGGTGGCAGGAGGGGACTTCAGAGGAACCACATTGCCAAGTACTTCAGCCAGGATGGGTGGGACAAGAATGTAGAAGGCGTAGGCCTGGGTGAAGGGTCCTCAGGTAGGAGCCGGCAGGCCTGCAGGTGGAAGCTGTTGGGAAAGGTTGCAGGTGGAGGTGGTTGGGAGATTGCAGGTGGGGGCCCAAGAAGCTGCTATTAAAGGGGGTGAGTGGCACAGAGTCTATGCTTAGGCTGCTCTGTCCTGTGGGATCCGCTCTCTTGTTTGCTGAGAGGGAGTAAGGGCCTATTCACCATGGGTAGCATGAGAGGCCTGTGGCCTTGGGTGTTGGTTTTGCTCTCCTGGCCAGGTAAGCTGTTCCCAGGCCCTCCTCCAACTGGTTCTAGTCTTCTGGGTACTGGGAGGCCAGAGGCTGTGGTTGGAGCCTGAAGGAGTCTTAATTGAGCTTTGAGACTCCCTCTGGTGCCCTTCAGAACTGTGCTTAGACGCGAGCAAATGGTGACCAAGGAGAAGGCCTCCTGATAAGCCCAGGGAGCAGAGAGGCCTGTCTGGCAGTAGGTTGCAGGTGTCATGACCCAGATCTACTTGTTTTGGGGTAGAGATTCTTAACCTGGCTGGGGCAGTGGTCACTCAGGCTAAGCCGGGGGCGAGGGGAGAAAGAGAAGCTGAGGCTAGCCCTGAACCATCTGCCACTAGCCTTAGGACCTAAGGTCTGTCCTGCTTTTCCTTGATCTCATGTGTGTAGACCTTGCCTTTTTGAGCTAAGCATTAGTCCCTTGAATAGACTTTCTTCATTGAAGTCATCTAGGCCTTGTCACCAGGTGTGGCTGAGTAGGGAGGCCAGGCAGGCTTCAGGGATGCATGCTGGAGGTCTCTTCTGGAAGGGGCTGGTTCTTGTTGCTGACACCCAGGTCCTGTGGTGGTCTTGAGTCATTGATGGGGCACTTGGGGCATATTTGTGTCTGTACTTGTTTGTCTGGGCCAGGTTTGATCCTAGGAGCACCTTCATCCTTCAAATGTTCAGGAGCCTGCAGTACCAGTGTCCCAGAAGACCTCAGTCTCGAGGAGATCCAGGTGTCCCAGGACAAGGACATACCTGCAATTAACCAAGGTGAGGGTACTGGGTTATACTTGTGAAAGCCATGCTGAATACTTTCTGACACATAGAAAAGGCTGAGAGGAAATGTCTCAGCTTAGGCAGTAACTTCTAAGTGGGTGGAAATTTCATGAAGTGCTTAAATCTGTTCTGCTTTTCAAAAAACTGGTGGAATGTTATTTTTATATGAAAGATTGCAAGTCTCTTAAAAATGGCCTGATAAAAAAAGAGCATTCGGCTCTTTCAACCTGGAAGTTGAACTAAATCATCAGGTAGATGTTTGAGAACATGCCAGCCAGCCTGTGAGGGACAGTGTGCTGATGTGACCTAGTTGGAGTTTCAAAGAACAAAGGAGCCTGTGGCTCAGGGCCTCTGTGTCTGGAGCGGGGTCTCAGCTGACAAATGAGGGACACAGACAACCTGGACTAAAGCTGGTGGCAGTGAAGATGAGCTCAGATATTGGAGTCATCAAGGACTGAAATGTTGGCACAACAGGAATGACTTTGCCCTAGATGGGGGGTGGCCACTGTGTAATCTGCTTCCTTCTTTCTCTGTGCGCTGGCTAGGAGCCCCAACATCTGTTGAGCTGTGGGACAGGTATCAGACCCTACTTCTATCACTGTCCTCTGGAGGCAGCCAGAACCAATGAATCTTCCCTAGCTCACTTTCCCTAGCCAGGGAGAACTTTCACACCCTGGTGACTCATGATAGTTACTAACAGTGTCCCTCACCTGCCTGATGTCTATCGTTAGCAGGACTTACCCATTCCCCAGCTGCTGTGAATGAAGGCTGTTAATGTCACACAGCTGTACTGGGTCTCTAGACTGGTCTTTAAAGAAAGCAGCTTTGCCTGGTGTGGTGGTGCTGCATGCTTTTAATCCCAGTCAGAAGCGGGTGGATCTTTGTGGTGGAGGCCATCTTGGTTCCCATAGTGAGTTCTAGGCCAGCTGTGGCTACAGGGAAGACTCAGTCTTTAAAAAAAAAAAGGACAAGGGAAAGAAAAAGGCAGCTTTGTCTCAGGAGGAAGAAGCCAGATCTGAATTCAAGCCCAGCCTGGACTACATAGTTTCAACTGGTGCTACAGAGGGACCCTGTCTCAAAAAAACAAAAACAAAACAACAAAAGGCAGCTTTGGTCAGAGATGTTCATGCGATAAGTCACTCTCCTCTCCTGCTGGGGTAACTTGAAATGGCTCAGAAGGGGGTGGGATAAGTCTGCTGTGCCATCTGTAGACCGGAGCTCTCCTACATTCTTCTTGGACCCTCTCTGGCTTCTCTCACTGTCTTATGGGTCTTCCTGAGATTTCCCCTTTCATCAGTCAGCTACAATAGGGTTCCTGTCTGGGAGAAAGATTCTCGAGAAGCCAAGCTGAGATAGGAAGTATTCGCCCTCTTCACCTTCTATGGTGGTGACTTGGAATTTCCATTCTCTATACCTCAAGAGTCCTGAATGTAACATAGACGTAGGGACCAGATAGGGGATAAGGTAAGACAGAATTGTACAGGGCATGATCCAGGGAGTGTGGCTTGGGCTGGAGGGGCCAGGGTGGGTAATAGAGATGGCTGGAAGAGGGGGTTGCTTCCTGACAGCAGGCTTGGGGTTAGGACTGGATCACACAAGCTGTGGGGCCATGGGTGTTTGAGTAGGGGAAAGACACAAGCAGGCTGGGAAGCCTCACACATTTGCAAGCTGTGACTTCCTCAAAGCCATATAGCCTTGGTGCTCAGGGAAGCTTGAGTCAAAGGCATGGATGTTAGCATGTGTTCTGGGGGTCACAGGTGGACACATATCCCTTCCTCCTTTTCCTTCCAGGACTCATCTCAGAGGAGACCCCAGAGGGCAGCTTTCTGGTGGAGGGGGACATCATCAGGCCGGTGAGTATGTTCAGGGGGGTGTGATAGAGCCCTCCGGGCCCTCAAAGTGTCATGTGTGCTTGACTTGGGGCCCATCTTTGGTTCTCGTAGCTAGAGAGCCACCACTTTTGTCAAGATCAAGCCGAATGTGACAAGGGTGATTGCTGAAATGACAACCTAGTTAGCTCAAGAGGGGCTTCAAGCCCTCAGACTCCACCTGGGAACCTGCCCAGGGCAAGTGCTTAGGGCCGCAGGAGCTGAACCCAGGCCAGCAGAGTAGTCCTGTGGTTGTTTGTATGTGTTTGTGTGTGGACGGTGGTTGGTTGTTGGAGGGGGATGGGGGGTTGGTGTTGGGGTG